AACATGGAAAAATTAAATAAAACACTGTAAATAGCGGTTTTTCAACGGTTGGGGAGATAAGGGAATTGGATGCATTGTCGAACATGATGTTTTCGACCGGTTTTATGGCGACAAAAGTGTAAAGTACCGTGCTTTGAAGGAAACCATTGCAAAAACATGGAAACACATTCAAAGAACACGGGATTTGGGGGACTATCTAGGCGTCGTTGTCTAGCTATTTGAAATTCCGCAGCTTGGAGAGCCTCCAAGGGAGGGAAAAGTGAAAATTCCCTAGCTTGGGGAGCCCCCACGGGAGGGAAAAGTGAAAATTCCCTAGCTTGGGGAGCCCCCACGGGGGGAAAAGTGAAAATTCCCTAGCTTGGGGAGCCCCCACGGGGGGGAAAAGTGAAAATTCCCTAGCTTGGGGCCCCCACGGGGGGGAAAAGTGAAAATTCCCTAGCTTGGGAAAAGTGAAAATTCCCTAGCTTGGGGAGCCCCCACGAAGGGGAAAAGTGAAAATTCCCTAGCTTGGGGAGCCCCCACGGGAGGGAAAAGTGAAAATTCCCTAGCTTGGGGAGCCCCCACGGGGGTGATTCCACACCACCCTTGGCCCCTCTCACGGACCGAAATAAACCTGCGGTGTGGGCGGCCACCCCACGCGAAGCGGGGTGAATATGACTTTGTCAGTTAGGATGATGAAATTCCCAATATACGGAAGAATAATCCAAATGTTCCAAACCACCAACCAGTATTTTCCAAACTACCCTCTGGTAAACTAACATAAGAATGGAAAATCAACATTTTAATGGGTAAATCAACCAGTCATAGAGGCAATAAACCAACTTTTGATGAGTCAAATCTTTACGACCAAGGGAACCACAAGTGGTGTTCCATTCTTGGTCTAACAATCCCATGCTGAGATTCCCCAGTTTCGACAGCCGCCCATGCCCAAGGTGTATCATACCCAGTTGTGGCACCACAAAATTCATGAGTAGCGGGTCACAAGAACTTGGATCACTTGGGGATCCAATTTTGTGCAAAGAACATTTTTTGGGCTCATCCATCATGATCAACGATTTAACCACTGTTAATCACTAGTAATCACTATAAAACAGTATTAATGCCAACCCCAGATGAGACTCAACCATGGTTTTTTTGGGGCCCCACCTCCAGTGAAAGTTGCAAAGCACAAGACCAATGACCAACTCGGTCTTGGGACAACAGGCGTCAACGTCTTGGGACCGGGAAAGCTGTAGATGTTCAAGGGAAAATGATGGAAAATAATGGAAAATGATGGAAAATGATGGCAAATGATGGGAAATGATGGAAAATGATGGAAAATGATGGAACATGTGAAATGATGCTCATTGAAAAAACTGGGAACATGTTGTAGGAAACAACGGTGAGTCAACAATGGGGATGTGTGTTTTACCATCTGGTTATTTAACATAGCCACGGAAAATCACCATGCTATTAATACGTAAACCATCTATAAATGGGCCGTCTATACCATGGCTATGTTAGTCATAGCCAGAGGGTAAAACATAAAATACACACGGAACGGGTGGATCTATACGGATTTGCCGGGAAAAATTGATTCTAAACCATGGGGGCTTTCAGGTTCCCCATATTGAAACAACCGAAAAGCCATGGCGGCAAGGAGCAAAACGAAAGAGTTGCCAGTGATCGCAACAAGTAGTGCACAAACAATCATGAAGCAGTGCAGGAATATATATATAACTATCTGAATACAATCTACTGTATATTGCATAATACATATATATATATATATATAAACATATTCATATAATCATATACATATATATATATATACACATTATGAATAAGAACGTATAATGTGTCTAAGAATATACCCATGATGGACGCAACAGTCTCATTGCTCAAGTCACGGCTGTTGCCACATGCTGACAGTGCCTCACACGGCAGCGGCGGCCCAGAGGATCTCAGTGACGCACCCATAGGAAAAGGGTTCCAGAAATATATCAATCAATTCTTGAGGAAACATAAAGCTAAACCATTGAATTTGGGAGAACCCCACCCTGTTTCTGGCAGGTTCCGATAGTAGTGATGAAATCGGATTCAAGCATGTGTTGTTCCTGCCCAAGTAACAAGCAAGATAGTTTTAACATGTTTTAACATCATGCCAACACAAAAAATAACCGGCATCTTGGGGGATGCCAGAACTGTACCAATTCGCAAAGGTGAACGATGGCCAAACATGTCTTTGAAAATTGTTCGTGGCCAAAAACAATATTAATGTGTGATGGAAATCAAAACCTGCCAAGAGTTGCACAAATAATAACTGGTTGGTGGTTGAGCCTACCCCCCTGAAATATTGATGGAGTTCGTCAGTTGGGATGATGAAATTCCCGAATGGAAAGTCATAATCCATTCATTTTCCAAACCACCAACCAGATAATGTTGTAGGATCTTGTTGAGGTTCCATTGAAGTCATCCACCGGTATCCGCCGGGTCCCGGTGTTTGGTCATTTTGACGTCGCAGGATGAACGGTCAATCTTTGATCGTCCAAAAATGCTGGTTATGCCATGGGTATGTTATGGTTATTCTGTTATTCTCCACAAAAAATAGCAAAAAACTAAAGGACTAAACTAGCCATCCAAGGTTGGGGATGAATGACCAGAAATTACTTGAATGGTTTGGATACCATGATCCACTTGGAACAGGACTGAGACAATAAAATGTATACAGAAGATCCCAGAAGCGTCCTCATCTGCCGTGATCTCCCCAAAACAACGGGAACCTCTCACATCTAGTTCTACGGGGGAAACCCAACGACTGCTTGACTGCCCCACGGCCATTTCACAATGTGGCAGTTCATCATTTGTTCTGCTCTACCGACTGATCCTTGTTAGGCTTAGGGACCTCCAGACTTACATGGTACAGGCGCTACAGGTACCAAACTTTTGTGGCTAAAATAGCCATATTAGCGTGCCATGTCTTCCCTTTGAGGCTTCAACCGCTGAATTTCCGTGACATCTCAACCTAGACACTCCAGGAAAACACCGAAATCTTGGCACTTTACCATCTTTACCCCGTAGTCTTTTGATGTCTTTTCTACGTTTACCATCGTAAAAACCCAGTATCTTTATGGGTACCTCGAGTGTCATCTGCTAACATAGCCATGGAGGCCATGGCCCATTTACTTCGATGATTTACCTCTCAAAACGGTGATTTTGGCAAACTGTTAGTCATTACCAGAGGATCCAAATCCCCTAATCTTGTTGGTTATGTACCCCCATTATATCTCCATATTATATCCCCATGTTTCGATAAAATCACGTGAACTCACCTTCAACTCATCACCATGCCATGACCATTACTCCGCGGCCACGCCACGGCGTTGTAGCTGACCACATCCGGCTGAAAGCGCAGCCGCCCCATGGATCGCAAAAGCTTCACCGCCAATGATGCGTCATGACCTGCTGCTGATCCAAAGAGAAAAGGCACCGAAACAAACGAGATGTATTGAGAATTTCCCTGCGACTTAGGTGTTTGATATGCTGGTTGGTGGTTTCAACCATCTTGAAAAATATGAAAGTCAATGGGAAGGATGACATCCCATATATTATGAGAAAAAAATGTTCCAAACCACCAACCAGTATGTGTGAAATGAGAAAATCAAAGAGTTGATTTTAACTGAACCTTGAAAGTTGTGAAACTCTTTATCCCTTTCAGGAAAGAATGTCATGCAAGGTGACAAGATGATGGATGAGCTAAAGACCATCTTTGAAGTCTTAGACAAACCAACATTTGGACCATTCACCAAGATTTCCCCCGCAAATCGATCTCTCATCACATGCTCTGGTCTATGTAAAATCCACAGAAACTGTATTTAAACCAACAAATCAATCAATTTACAGCCCCAAACAATAACAAACAGCTACAGCTCTGAAAAAATCAGGGTTTCCCCAATCATCATCAATCATCATCAATCATCTAATTATCTGGGAAAATCATAATATTTCCATCCATATTTCATTAACCTGTGATTTCCATCACATTTCTTTCATATTTCACTGGGGATGGGTCAAAACCCTGTACCCCTGGTGAACCCCAAAATAGCTGGTAAATGGATGTTCATCCCACTAAAAATGGTATTAATATGTATTAATAGGTATTGATCCATAGACTTATCACACGACCATTTAAGGGGATGCCCCGTCGGTGGCACCTGCGTCACAGGCCGTGATGGCGGCGTTGAACGTGACGTGGCTGGCCTGCGCTGTGGGCCTGGCAAAAAAAACGAAGGCACAAAAACGAATCGTGGGTTGACATGGGGGCGGTGAAAAAAATGTGGTGGTTAAAACATGTTAAAACGATATGACTTGATGGTTCATTAATGTTAAAAACAAGTTGAAGTTGAAAACTATATGGTTGAGTTAAGAAGTTGACCAACCGTGTCTGTTTTTTGCGAACAATCAAGATTGTCTGTCTACATGTGAATAAAGTTGGAAGCCGGAAATGGTGAAACAAGTAAATTTGCAGCTTCGAGTTAGGGATCTTCTAATATCTTCACAACTTGACGACTCCAAGACCTAGTAGCCTCAAAGGGCCACAAAAAGGTCCATGAAAAACATCAGAATCTTGGAACGACAAAGTGATAAGGCAGTTTGATGCAGTTTGACATTCCACCTTCCTTTTCAGTTGCCGCATACCCCGCCAATTGGAAACCGCTCCCAGTCTCAGGCCTGTCCAGCATGTCTTTGGCCAGATCCAAGCCCTTTCGCCACAACAATCCTCCAAGGCTGCGAGGAGATGGGTCTAGAAATGCTGATCCGGATCATTTACAATATCAGCACTACTTCACCAACCTGACATGTTTAAAAATTTTGAAAATAACTCCTAATCATAATATATCATAATCATCAGTGACAACCCTTATGAATTTTATCCCATTCGAAAAACATCTCCCTGGCGACGGTTCAGGCACCCCGTCTCGTTTATGAATCCCACCGGGTCCTCTGGTACAGCCGCTGACCTCGATGGATCTGTTGAATCCGTGGCACTTTGGGAATCAAAGCAACAAGGAACAGCAGCATTGCAAACACTGGTTGGTGGTGCAATAACCACCTAATGTGGTGGTTGAAAAAACCATGAAAAATGGAGATTTAACCAATTTAACCATGAAAAATGGATCTATAACTTAACTGGTTGGTGGTGCAATGTGCCCATCTTGAAAAATGATGGAGTTCGTCAATGGGTTTCGGATGACACTTTTTGTCACTTTGCGGTTACTGTGCCGATTGGCACTCGGTCGCATGCAGCGATGGGGCAGCACTGTACAGAGAGATCAGGTGGCCGTTCTATGGTAGTCGGGCTGCACCGTTTGTTGATCCTCAAAAATCTGCTGCCGAAAACAGTGAAAATCGTCGGGGAGTCCTTGGTGCAAAAGCTTGAAGTCCAAAGTGGTCCTTGCAAAGCGGCACACTGCTCGACCCAACGCCTGGTTCAAACCGATCGGGTAGATTTTACCCACAGCTGTGCGGAACTCTCCTTGCTGGTTGCGACCCTGTAGCGCTTCATGTGCCGCTGGATGATGGTTGCACCTTCCGCCTTTCCCTTTCCTCAGCATGTCATGTCGAAATGAGTCAAGCCTGAGCAGAAGGAGGGTGGTAGGTTTTTTTGCTGGTGAGCCAACAATGCACTGATCAAAGCTGACTGCACTGAAACACTGCAGGGTGCGGCATAGTTTGGCCTGTGCCGACCCCCATATGCTTGCAGGGTCATGTTTCACAGCCCAAACTGGCCATTGTGGGTGTTCGACAAAGCCACACCCGCCGAAGATGGCAAGTTCCAGGAGGATGTCGAAGATGAAGAACACCAGACGTGATCCAATCCTCAGCTGCTGCCATTCTCTGGCTGTGAGTGCTGGCAATCCGTCAGGGTGTGCTCCATTGCGGAGGGGTCGCGGTCCGTCTCCCAGGAAGCGGGCTGCGGTAAAGGTCTCGCAAGGCGGACCCCCTCCTGCACCCAGGATTTGTCCAGCCCGGACCCTGTTGAGCCACCAAGAGGTAGCGGTGTCGGTGGCCAGGTTGCCATCTTTGCGCTGCATACACATGTCGACTGAGATAACCAGCAACTGCGCTCCATCCTCCAGCACCGTTGTCTCAATGACTTCGTGAAGGTCTTGAGGACGGCGGTAACCGCTGTAGAAATGTACGAAGACCTTCCATCGGATGTGAAGGCGGGCTGTCTCACGTGCCAAGTTGTGCTGCGCAAACGCGCCATGGCCTTGATTTGGCCCTGGTGGCGCATGCATGACAAAGGCCGGGACGTCATTGGAGAATAGGTGTACCTGGGGTTCATCAATCTGCTCACGTGCTGCACATCTCCCTTGGAGCTCCTGAAAGGAGGAACCCGGGGTAGTTGTGCGGGCGTCCCATTTGGCTTTGAATGCCTGTGCATCAGGTGTGTCATGTGGCGGCAGGAGCGGCCCATGGATGCGCACTGGCGGTAGGAATGCTTTTGTCTTCCACCATCCTTGCTGCCTCATCTCGCTGGCATATTGCTTTCCTTCTTCATCCCATCGGTGGACGTCTTCCTCGCTGGCCGGAGGGAAGCAAGCTTGGAGGGTGATCAGGCATTCTGGGCAGTCGTATAAGTGCATGAGGAGCCTGGCTCTAGCATGGTATACAGAACTTTCCACATGCATCGCAGGTGGCATGGGTGGCATAAAATCTCTCAATTCTTTTGTACCCATGTGTTCGTGCGGCATGGGAGGCTAATCCACGCTTTGAGGGAAAGCATCTATTGCAGAGGTCGCATTGCCATTTTTCTTGTATGGGCTGGGAGGCGACGGGCAGCACCCCCCCATGTGCTTCAAACACTCGGGTGAACCTATGAAGGAAAACCTGTCGTTCAGCAATGGCGGTGCAGTACTGCAAACATGAGTGCGCAGCTCTTTTCAGGCGTCCCTTCCATGACGTGTCGAGTGCAATGAGCGGTAACCATGCCTCCAAGTCATCTGATTGGGGGGCAAACTGGACATCGTAATGGGTACGAAACCATCTGAAAGCCTCAGCACATCCCGCTACCCAGGAGTTGGCATTGGTAGCGTCAGCCATCAGGAGGTTCCATAACGCTTTGGGGCAGGTTTGTGTGAGGCGCTTGATGTAGCGGAGCCGTGCGACTTGCAGTGCATGTTTAGGAGGCAGGACACCTGCCAAGGCTGACACTGCATCCATCTCCATGAGCAGTGGGTTGGTTCCCCTGAGCTTGCCTTTGACCATCAGGCAGAAGGGCTTGCGCAAGGCATTGTGCCATTTGTCCCATTCTTTAGAGGTGACCCCTGTCCAAACGTGCGCATTGTACATAAATTGGCTAAGTGCTGTGGATTGGAAAACCTTGGTCTTGGTGGGCAGGGAAACGTATGGTTTGTTGTAGAATGGCCTTGCAAGGGCGCCCCAGGTGGAGCGGGCCATGGAACTTCTCTGCTGGATCTCTTTGCCATGCACGTTTCCAACTTGCAGCCATGTTCCTAGGTGCTTGTATGCAAAGGCAACTCGAAGGGCAATGTGGCCTTCAGAGGATTGCCAGCATAGCATCGAGTCAGCTGCTGCAAGTGCCGCTTTCTTGTCCTTGGATCCTTGGCCAACCAGATTCCAAAGCACTTCTGTTTTGCCCTGATCAAAATTGATGCAGAGCCCGCGTTTGTTTGCTGCAGCGATCACTGATTCAACAACGTCTTTTATCCCTTGTTCCACTTGCTGGATGGAGCGGCCATGTATTCCAAACGCACAGTCATCAACAAAGGACACATCAAAGTAACCAACTGCAGGAATGTCATCAGGGGAAAGAAAGTCGGTACAGGCTGCGGAATGTCCGTACCATACCAGGTCTGAGCTTTTGGCCATGGATTGCTTGACATCTTTCAATAGGCATGACATGATCGTGTTAAAAAGGATATCCCCTATCGGGTCGCCGGGTCTGGTGCCTCTCCTTGTGCGGCATGGTTCATGGATACCATCAATGAAGAAATGGGTATTAGTCATCGCATCTTTCAGGATGGCAAGCATGTGCGGCGTTACCCCTTGCAGGGCAAAATCCTTGTCAACACTTTCTGCAGTCTGGGCGGCTGTTTCGGGCGAAATACCTATGGAAGTCAGAGCCTGTGCCAAAGTGGCTGTATCACCGTCCCCTGGAAACAACGCTTGTCTGAGTACACTGTAAAAGGCGGCCCTGACATCAAAGAAAACGATGGCAGCCGGGGTTCGATTGGTGGAGGTCCAGTGCCAGAAGGTCTGCAACATATGATGGGCCATGTCTGTTCCCTGTCCTTTACGTCCACCTAACTGGAGTGAGTGCAGTGACTGGGCCCAGGCCTTTTCAATAGGGCGCCTCAACGTCATGTGGTAGACTTTGGCTGTAAAATCGGACACGAAGATAGAGCGGTAGCCAGAAGGCTCTGACGGGTGCATCTTTCCTTTGTGGAGTGGGAAAAGTCTTCCACCTTTCCATGACAGCGGCTCATGGGAGTGCGCTGCACATTTGGTGACCAGCGTGAGGAATTGCCTCGCAAAGACTTCACCACCCGCCTTCAAGAGGGCAGGTGGCAGTTCGTTTGGGCCAGGTGCACGTCCACGCTTGAGCTTTCGCAAACATTGCTGAATGTCCCAGGCTGAGGGAAACGATGCAGGCTCTTGCAGGTCAAGGCATTGACAGGCATTCAGAATATCATTAGCAGCTAGTTCAGTGGTAGTGATACTGTGTCCCGCCTCAATGGCAGCAAACTGCTCCATCCATACTTCTTGCCTCTCACTGAAGGTGGCAGTCAACGATCCGTCTGCTTTTTTCAACATGGGCAAGGGTCGGAGGGAGCCGGTGGTTTTACGGCTTTTGCCACCGAGCCTGCGGAGGGTTTTAAACACAGTGCGTAAATCACCGAGGCTGTCTGAGTCCTGTAATTGCACAAGGAGCTGATCGAAAAAAACTCCTATGTCCTGGCGTACAGCTTTGCGGATGTGCTTCTCAAGTGGGACGATCTGTTCTTTAAACTCTGCCGTGTGAGTGAGATTCCAGTGCCTGGCTCGGTCAAGCAGGTGTCTTTTCATGGCAATTGCCTCCAGGGTGGCTTTGCTAAGCTGTGGTCGGCGCCGTGAAGATTTCTTTTGACAAAAGAACTGTTTGCCAAGTTGGAGGAGTTGCTTTTCGTACCATGCAGCGTGAGTCTCCACACTGATATCCCACACGGGGATTGGCAGAGTGGCCAGTGCTTTTCGGAACGCTTGGACCTTGTCTGGGCATAAGAAGGCCTGCTCATCCCAGGTCTCATGCTCAGCAGTGGCAACTCGTTGTTTGAGCATACCTCTAAGTTGCATGCAGAGTGGAAGGTGATCATCGTGACAGAATGACGTGTCAAAATCAGAAAATACTGAAGTGGCAGCCACAATGTCGTGCACTCTACGTGAAACTAGGATATAGTCCCTTCGGTATTTGGCTCCGTTTGTGTGGGTCCACGTGTGACCCGGTCCGGAATGGAAATGGTCAAAAGTGGATGGGACAAAAAACTCCAAATCAATCAGGAAGTTGCCAAACAATCTTCCCTGCTGGTTGAGCGCCTCAGGATTTGTTGTACCAACAAAGGGGGAGAACTCTTGGTTGATTGGGGCATTGGCGTCAATAAACGTCCAAACCAAGTCGTAGGCAGCATGGGTGCGGTACAGTTTTGCAGTCTCCTTCCACCATGAGGCAAGAACATCAATTGGTCTGTTGCCGTCACCTTTGTTTTTGCTGAGGCATGGTGCGTGTAGTACCACCAGGGATAACTTCAGTTCGCAATTTTCCAGAAGGACAAAGAGCCGTCTGGGATCAGCCCATTGGGTTGTAATCCTGAAATCACGAAAAGAAAGCTTGGTACCATCGGAAAGAGTAGCCAGTGGAAGGGTTTGATGAATCCACAGTTCACACCCTAAACAAACCGGGTTGGGGCCATGGTGGCCTGCAGCAAAAATGTGGTAATGCTCACTTCTGTACCTTCCC